TCATTAGAGGAAGACAGATATTGGACGGGGTTTTAGTAGCAAATGAGCTTGTGGAGGACTATAGATCTAAGTGAAAGGAAGGAATGGTGTTTAAATTAGACTTTGAGAAGGCCTACGATCACGTGAATTGGACTTTTTGGACTTTGTGTTGAGAATGAAGGGTTTTGGAGATAAATGGAGGTTGTGGGTGAATGGATGTGTAAGAGCTGCAAACTTCTCAATTCTAATTAATGTTAAACCAAGAAAGAGGTTTGGTGCCAACTTCTCAATTCTAATTAATGGCAAACCAAGAAAGAGGTTTGGTGCAACCAGAGGTATTAGACAAGGGGATCTGCTATCCCTTTTTCTGTTTACCATAGTTGCTGATGCCCTTAGCGGTCTTCTTAAAAAGCTTCGCGTTTGGGTTTAGTCAAAGGTTTTATGGTGAGAGATGAAAGAACGACGGTAACCCATTTGCAATTTGCAGATGACATGTTGCTATTTTTAGACCCTCATTGTGAGAACTTCAGAAATGTTGCAGCAATTCTCAAGATTTTGTCATTGTTTGGGCCTCAAAATCAACATGAATAAGAGCATTGTGGCTGGCATAAACATAGAAGAGGGGGTTGTGCGGGAAATAGCAGCGATTGTTGGTTGTGGCATTGGTGACTGGCCGTTAAAATATTTGGGTCTACCGTTGGCTGGAAACTCATTATCTAAGGAATTCTGGATGCCGGTTTTAGACAAGATTGGAAAAAGATTGGATGATTGGAAGAAAGGCTTTTTGTCAAGAGGGGGCGGCTGACATTGATCCAATCCGTTTGGCGAATATTCCTATTTATTACCTCTCCATTTTTTCGCTCGTGGCCTACACTGCAAATTTGTTGGAAAAAAGGATGAGGAATTTTCTTTGGGATGGTGAAAAGGACTCAAAAGTGGACTATTTGGTAGCTCAGAAATCGGTGTGTTTAAGCAAGAAAAATGGGGGATTAGGAATTGGAAATCTTCTGCGCAAAAATCAAGCACTTTTGGGGAAATGGTTGTGGAGATTTTCACTAGAGTAGGATTCTCTTTGGGCCACAGTCATTAGAAGCAACTATGGGCTCCATCCAATTGCTGGGATTCAAATCCGGTCACGCATGTAAGTCATCGAAGTCCTTGGAAATTCATCTCTCAAGGTCTCCTTGTTTTCTTGGAAAAGGTTAAGTGGGTAGGGGGGGAGGGTTCTAAGGGCCTGTTTGGGAGAGCTTCCTAAAAGCTGCTTTTGGCTTCCTAGGTCTAAAAGCTGCTCTGGAAGTGTTTGGATGATTTGCCAGAAGTGCTTTGACTTTTCAGCAGAGCTTCTTATCAAAGTGAGAAATTGTGGCTTCTAAAAAAAGCACTTATGAATAGACTTTGAAACTTGTACTAGAGTTTAATTAAGGAATTATAAACTTAATTCCAACACTTTTATTGCTTATTAGAAAATTTGAAAATCATTTTGACCAATTAAGCTCTTGGTTCCAAACACTTATTGAAAAGCCACAGCTTTTGCTTCTCTTCTTTTGTTGGATAAAAGCAAAAGCAAAAGCTCTGCCAAAGGGGCCCTAAAATTCGTTTTTGGAAGGATTGTTGGGTAGGTGATCAGCCTTTGGCTATTAGATTTCCTGGATTGTTTAGCCTCTCTAATTCTGGAAATTCCAAATTAATGAAGTTTTTATTTCTTCTGAGCCCTTAGAGTGGAGTTGGAATTTTAATTTTAGAAATCTTAGGGAAAGGGAGTTGGAGGAGTTTGTGAATCTGTCTAATGTCTTGGAGAATTTTTCTCCAAGGCCTCAGGTGAAAGATAAGAGGATTTGGATACCTAATGCAGATGGTTTCACTTGTGCTTTTTTTCATTCCTTGATTGATGTCCCTAATTCAAATCTTATTCCTTTTCATGCTAACGATTCCATTTGGAAAACTTGCGTTCCTTTAAAAGTTAAGGTTTTTGCCTGGTTGTGTTATCGGAAGAAATTAAATACTAGTGATTTGGTCCAACGGAAACATCCTCATATGCTTCTCTCGCCGAGTTGGTGTGTTTTATGTAGGGAGAATGGGGAAGACATCGATCATTTGAATATGCATTGTCGGGTCGTGCGGGGTTTCTGGATGCGTCACTTTAAAGGTGCTGATTTTCATTGGGTCGGCCCTAAAAGCTGTACTTCACTACTGGAAGGGGATCTAGGAGTGTTTGGAAATGGCAAGAAGGGGAGGATTATGTGGAAAACAATGGTGTTGGCAATCCTTTGGGTGGTGTGGCTAGAAAGAAATCGACGAATTTTTTAGGACAAAGATTCCGAAGAGTTAGATTTGCTTGATAAGACTCAATTCCTGACTTCGCTTTGGGCTTCTACAGATAAAGAGTTTAAGCATTTTCCTTTGTCTTTAATTCTGTTAAGTTGGAGGGATGCGTTGAGTCATTGAGATTTAGAGAGATTTTGTGTTATTGTTTCTTACTAATCTAGATTGTCTTTTTATTTCCACTTTTGAGGATCCCTCATCCTCGTCACCTTGGATTTGTGATTAGCTCGGAAGGAATTCACGTTGATCAATCCAAAGTTCCAGCTATTCGGAATTGGCCTACTCCAAAGAATGTGAAAGATGTTCAAAGCTTCCATGGATTAGTGACCTTTTATAGGAGATTTATTCAACCTTTTAGTTTAATTGCCGCTCCCCTAATTGATGCCATGAAGAAAAATAATTTTGTTTGGGGACCTCATCAACTACGAAGTTTTGAGGAATTGAAAAAAAAGTTGACTATGGCACCCGTCGTAGCCCTTCCAGATTTTGATAAATTATTTGAAGTAGCAGTTGATGCTTCTTGTAAAGGTGTTGGAGCCGTTCTCTCTCAAGAAGGCCAACCCATTGAATATTTTTCTTTAAAACTATGTGAAACCCGACAACCATGGTCTACATACGAACAAGAATTTTATGGGTTAATTCAAGCATTACGTCAATGGGATCACTATTTGATTTCTAAGGAATTTGTCCTATACACTGATCATCAATCCTTAAAATTTCTTCATTCTCAAAATAACGTCGATTGGAAACATGCTCGCTGGCAAGCTTTTCTGCAAAAATTCACATTTTCCATCAAGCATAAATCCAAAAAATTGAACATTGTTGCTGATGCATCAAGCCGCCGATATGCTCTTCTCGTCACACTCCAAACGGAAATAATTGGATTTGATGTGCTAAAGGAGTTGTATGAGCATGATGAAGATTTTTTAACCACTTCGAACAAATGTCTCTCACGTGAAGAGCAAGGAGAGTTCCATATTTTTAATGGTTACTTATTTAAATGTAATGCACTATGCTTACCAAAGACATCATTACGCGAGCTAGTCATTAGGGATGCACATGCCAGTGGCGTTGGAGGCCACTTTGGACCTGATATAAAACAATTGACTTCGTGGCCAAACGATTTTTTTGGCCTCAGTTGTAGAGAGATGTCGCGAATTATGTCCGCCGGTGTATTCCACGTCGAAAAGCTAAAAAAACACTTCAAAACACCGGCGAATACCAGACCCTTCCTGTCCCTAAAACAATTTGGGAGGATCTCGCCATGGATTTCTTAGTTGGCCTACCTTGAACTCAACGCAGGTATGATTCTGTCATGGTAGTTGTTGATCGTTTTAGTGAAATGGCTCATTTTTTGGCTCGCAAGAAGACTTTGGATGCGGTAAACATGGCTTTTTTTTTTTTTTTAGGAAATTATTTGACTTCATGGAATTCCCAAATCGATCACTAGTAATCGTGACCTCAAATTCCTTAGCCATTTTTGGCAAACTTTATGGAAAAAATTTGATACATTACTCCAATTTAGTACCACTGATCATCCTCAAACTGATGGGCAAACAGAGGTCACTAATCGCACACTTGCGAATTTAATTCGTTGCCTATGTCAAGACAGTCCGCGACAATGGGATGTTGCTTTTGCTCAAGCTGAATTTGCCTTTATTTGCATGAAGAACCGAAGTACAGGAAAGGCACCGTTTGAGATTGTCTACACCCATTTACCGAGATTGACGTTGGACCTCATCGATCTTCCTCAAGCAGCCGGAGTTAGTGAGGAAGCAGAGGATTTTGCCGAAAAATTTAAGAAGTTGCACCAAGAAGTGATGGAATATCTAGAGCAATCCAATGCCAAATATAAAATCCAAGCCGATTGTCATCGTCGAAGGAAACACTTCAACATTGGGGACATTTTTATGGTGTATCTTCAAAAAGCTCGCTTTCTGCAGTGTTCACAACAAGATTAAAAACACGCGTTTTGGGCCTTGCAGAATTCTGAAGAAAATTGGAGAAAATGCATATCAACTTGAATTTCCTCCTGACATGAATTGTTCCTCAACGTTTAACGTTTCTAATCTTACCGAGTATTTCCCTCCGGATGAGCTTTGTTTTGCATATTCGAACTCGAGGACGAGTTCTTTTGAAGAGAGAGGGAGTTGATGTAGGAAACGTTAGGATTTATCTTAGGATTTGGGATATTTAGGATTTATTTTATGATTTATCTTTATCTTTATTTTTATTTTGGGTTTATTTTTATCATTTATCTTTCAATTAGTTCTAGTTCTATCATAATTATTAGTTTTCAGTTTTATGATGAATCAAACAACAAAAGAGCTATAAATTATGTACTCCATGACTTTTCATGGTACATTCAACATTCATTCAGTTATTCAATAAAACTCTAGTTTTTAGCTCAAAGGCTTGTTACTGTTTTTCGTCACTATCTTTCTGTATAACATGCTACTATTCTTAGTTTAGGAAGAAAAATTTGTAGTGATTCCTATAAAACATCACATTGACCTTTCTAGATTTTGTGGTAAATGGAAATTCTTCGAACTACCACAAAGGCGATCTATAAAAATGACTTAGAATGTGGCTTGCTTGAATAAACTGGATGATTGACTGTTGTATTTGTTATATTTATTTAGATGTTTATCAGATGATTGTTAATGTAATGTATAAATTATAATATATCTTTTTCACAGGAAACGAAAGCCCTGGCTTCATGGTTGAAGGTCAAACATTTACAATTGGTGAGTGCAAGGCCTTTAGGAGCCTAGAGAATAGGTAGCAGATATTAAGCTTGTCCACCTTTATTCAGATCCGAACAATTTCGTAGCCTAGCTATGCAATTAATATTCTTAGCTAAAACACAAAATCATTAAGGGCTCATTTAGAAGGTATACTCAAACCATGATTTTTGATTTTGATGTTTGAAATTTAAATCTTTTTGTGAGAGGAAAACACTGTAGCATAATCAATGATTTGAATTTGAGTATATGAAACAAACGGGACCTAAATCATTTTTCACAAATATCTTGGTAAAAGTATTTTGTTTTTTGTTTTTTTGTTTTTGTTTTTAATTATTATTGACATACAAGGGAAGCTGGATTATCTATTTATGGATTCTGATACTACATTTGTCTTTCCTAATTGTTGCAGAACCAATTCTTACAATGGGAAGGGGAAAACACTGTAGCATAATCAATGATTTGAATTTAAGTATATGAAACAAACGGGACCTAAATCATTTTTCACAAATATCTTGGTAAAAGTATTTTGTTTTTTGTTTTTTTGTTTTTTTTTTTAATTATTATTGACATACAAGGGAAGCTGGATTATCTATTTATGGATTCTGATTCTACATTTGTCTTTCCTAATTGTTGCAGAACCAATTCTTACAATGGGAAGCATCGAGTGTGTAACATGGCCAGATAACTGGACAACCGTGACTGCTGATGGTAGCCCCACCGCCCAGTTTGAGCATACCATTTTGATTACGCGTACTGGTGCTGAAATTTTGACCACTTGTTGAAAAGGTATTTTTGTTAAGTTTGTATATAGAATGATGAAAGCATTTTTGTTTCATTTTGCTAGTAGACTAATATTGAACATTCATCAAAAGGTCTTTACGAACTGTATAATTGAAACTGAAATGTTGCCCTTGTTGTTGCATAAGGAAAAACAAATGCGATTGGGACACACTTTGAAAGAGAACAGGAATGTTCTAGGACAAAAAAGACAAAACCCTGATGAAATATACTTTTCGTAAAATAAAATTTACTAGTGTGTATATATATTTGCAAATGGTAAGTCAAGCAAGAGAATTTAGACCTGGATTTCTTAACAATTTTTTCTCGCCAAAGCAAGTTGAATTTCGAAATTACTATTTCAATTTGCTTTGATGATCAATTAATATTTCCTTTTTCTCCTTGTCTCTTTCCAGAGTTAACCCATTTCTATACGCGTTGGAAAAATGACATTTGACTAACTCCATTTTTTAGTGTTGTTTTGAACTTTTGAGCTGCAGCCAAAATTCTTTTTAACTTCATTTTCATCTGCCATTTTATGGTGGTAAAGAAATGTTTTTGTACCCAGATAACAAACAATTTCACGTGGTTGGTGGTTCAAAATAGGAACCTGCCTCCGACCTTTTTTTTTTTTTTTTTTTTTTGCTCATCAAGCCTCCGACCTTATATTCGTAGGTTTGACTGGTAAACTAAGTTACAACCCGCGTATTTTTCAATACTAAATTCTCCATCGAAACAAGGGAAAATCAAATAAATTATGTAATAATTAGAGACGCGTGTTTGTTGTGGAACTAATTAATTTCCTCAATGAAACACACAGGTGGGGTCCGTAAAATTCAGGTGCAGGATGACACCCACCCTTGATCGTAATTCCATGAGCTAAGGTTGTCGACGTGTCCAAGTCATAGTGCCTGTATAGCGCGACCTATTGTTTTTTGTTTATTTATTTATTTTTTTTGTTTTTTGTTTTTTTGCTGAATAGCGTGACCATTTATATACATCAATTAGGCCTACGACGTTCAGGGGATGTATGTTTATGTATCTGCCTTTAGTTTTAAATTATGATTTATGATTTTTATAGTATTTTTTTATAAAAAATTTAAAACTGTAGAAAATTTTGAAGGCCAGCCGTCCAAGGCAAACAGAACAACCTGGTGTAACTTGACGGCTCCTTTGGAGTTGACTTTTCCACAAAACAAATACGACGACACTGATCAATTGCTGATTTATATATTTAGTGAATTTTTTCTAAAGGCTATAGGAAACTTACTATGAGATTTTATCACATTATGTATTATATTATGTCAATTTGATCAAATTTAAAGAAAAACATGCTCAAAACCTACTTTGAGAGAGTGATTAGTGACTTTTAGTGATATGAGAAGCTCCCAAAAGCTAAGAACCGACCACTTTACTTTTTTGCACAATAGATTTTCCAATGAACAAGCAGGGAAAAGGAATCCCATGTGGATGTAGGACGACATAATGTGTTTTAAGACCACTATTACCTTTCACATGCCGACCAATATGTACGTTACACTTTCCATTACTCGCACGTGCCAAAAACACCAAAATTATAATTGGTCTCTCCTCAGTCCTCATTAGTCATTTTGTATATATAAATAAACTAAATCGCTCTCTAACTTTACCATTTTTGCTTGTGTTTCCTTGTTTTCATCTCTCCATCTCACAGAATCACATCTCAATCTCCATCCATGGCGTCCACAATCTCTCTCAAAGCCACTTCATCTCTGAGACTCCTTCCCAGCCCAATCACCTCTCCTTCAACTTTGGAATCACCGAAACGGTTGGGTTTTAATCTATCACACTCCTTTCCCACTTTTAAACTCTCACCAACCCACCGAGACTTTCCAGCAGGAAACTCCAAGAGCTTCACCACCACAGCTTTCTTTTTCCAAAAGAAGAAAGCCCCGGAAGCACAAGAGTCTTCCAGACCTAGTAAGTCCTTTTAATCACTCCACTTATATTCATTTATTTAATTTGTGCCTCCTTTTTCTGAAAAATAATTCAATATGAGAAATTCGGAAATTCAGGGTTATTCTAATTTCTAAACTTCTCTAGAAAATCACTTTTCTTAAAAAATTAAAAATGAAAATTAGTTGGTGTCAAAATTTATGAGAATTTTGCACAACACTGCAGCTTTTGGAAAAAAAAAAAAAAAAAAGGGAAAAAGTTCACTTCTATGTTAATCACTTTTGATCGAAACAGCCATGTATAAAAGTAGACCATTACTTTACCAAAAACATGTAAATAGTTACAGAAGTGATTCCAAAGGTATCATGATTTAGGAGAAATTTGCACTAATACCGCAGCTTTTGAAAAAAAAAAAAAAAAAATCACTTTCGATCAAATTAGATACCATACTTAACCAAACATGTGAATAGTTTCAAAGTGATTGATTCTAAGAGTCTATTGTCAATCTAAAAAAAAAGGGCATTATTTTCTCACTTTGAGATGATCATGATCATCAGCGAAAGTCCAAGAACTCCACGTCTACGAGATCAACGAGCGAGACAGAGGAAGCCCAGCATTCCTAAAGCTAAGCCAAAAGCAGGTAAACTCTCTCGGCGACCTCGTGCCGTTCACCAACAAGATCTACACCGGCGACTTGCAGAAGCGGCTCGGCATAACCAGCGGCCTCTGCGTGCTCATCCAACACGTCCCCGACAAAAAAGGCGACCGCTACGAGGCCATCTACAGCTTCTACTTCGGCGACTACGGCCACATATCCGTCCAGGGCCCGTACTTGACGTACCAGGACACCTACTTGGCCGTCACCGGAGGTTCTGGAATCTTCGAGGGGGCGTACGGACAGGTCAAGCTTCAGCAGCTTGTCTTCCCCTTCAAGATCTTTTATACTTTTTATCTCAAGGGTATTCGTGATTTGCCCCAGGAACTTCTTGGTAAGCCTGTGGAACCGTCTCCGAACGTCGAGGCGTCTCCGGCCGCCAAGGCGACGGAAAGCCATGCCGTTATTCCTAACTTCACTGACTGATCATGTAGAGGAAAAGTCAGCGTTTTATTTTGTTTCTCTACTTGATATGTGCCAGTGAATTACTTTAATTCCGGGCCTCCTTTTTTTTTTTTTTTTTTTTTAATCTTAATAGAAACTATATATCTTAGTTTGCTAAGGATTCAATGGAAGGGGAATTAAAGGTTGCGTGTGTCTGGTCATGAGGTTATAGAGATTAAGGACATTCCTTTTGTGTTATCTCAATTTGAGGAGTAATATTTTGAGTCGCCATATTTTTTTCATCACATTTTATTCATTTGTAATATCTTAGGACTCGTTTGTTTGATGCGTTTAAACGTATAGTATTAATTCTACTACAATATTTTTTTTTTCCAAAAAAAAAAAAAATTCAAATGTTAAAATTAAGAATCACTAATTGTCACAAAATAAATAAATAAAAGCTGCGGTTCAAAATAAAAAAAAATAAAAGGCGCAATTCACTTAAATGGTTTCCGATTGTCATGAAATAAATTTAGCGTGAATTAAAGAAAAAAAAAAGAAATAGATTTAGCACGATGACAAATTGATGTCGCTAAAAGATGGTTTGTCAATTATCAAAAAAAAGAAATAGATGACAAATTGATGTCGCTAAAAGATGGTTTGTCAATTATCAAAAAAAAAAAAAAGATGCTTTGTCACAAGAAAAAAAAAAGGCACAATCCACTTAATGTTTGCAAGTTGTTAGAAATTGATTTAGCGATTACTTGTCATGACTAAAATAAGTAGGGGAAAAGGTTTTCCTAGTAACTTAGTAACAAACGTTGTCATTGAAATGTTCATTTATTTACATACTTTACAACAGTGCAAAAAGGGAGATTGTAGGTAAGATCATCTCCAGTGCAATGTTATAATTGATGTGCTAATTCATAATTTAACATTTGAATGTAAAAAACACTTTCTAATGTAATGTTATTTGTTGTGTTAAATTTTTCACATGCTATATTTTGTGGCAAATTTCTCACTAAGTATAACATATGAGAAATTTGACATTTGATTCTATTAATTGAAATGTTTACTTTTTTATGTAATCATTGTAACTTTTATATTTTCTAGTTATTTCAAAAATAAAAGTTTACTTTACAACTTTCAAAGCTTAAAGTTTATGGTAAAAAATAGATTTAGCATTTTAAATAGCATTATGCATTGGAGTAAAAATAAAAATAACATGTCATATCATACATTTTGATGTTAAATATACAATTGATATTAGCATTTGGCATTAGAAATGATCTAATGTGTGCGAACGTATCGCGCTTGTTTATTTGAGTGACCTTTTCGCTATTGTCGAAGGGTATTTTTTAGCCTTAATTCATAAATATGATTTTGACACCATATTTACAAACTCCAAGAATCATCAAACCAAATTACCGAGAAAAATAAGCGAGGAATAAATACGTGTTTTCATTGGAGCAACCAAAATTCTCGAGCCTAAATTTCTACGACAGTTGGTTCTCCGATTATCGCTTTCTTCTGTCAAATCTCCAGAGTCCTTGATGGGGTGCTTTCTCTTTAGATGAGGAAGAGGAAAAATGACCGAATGATTTGACATATTGGAGACTATAACCTAAATGTATTTATATACTTTCCCATTAGGCACCCCTTAAACCTAATTGGGTTAGTATTGGGTATCCACTCATTAGGCCTATACCAACATATTCAATGACATAGATCGAGTATGAATGAGTACCATGAAAATTACATGCAATGTGATCTCAAACATGTCTATTTTCAACTGGTGCTGCTTTAGTCTTTAACGAGATCAATCTGAAATTTCTAAACATAACGCAAAAATCATAAATAGAAAATAAACACATTTAGAGGCAAACCATAATTCATTTACTTTATTCTACAGAAAATAAAACATATAAATATTTAAGAAACATAGAACATCCAAAAGTTAACTCCCACTAAACCAAAATATCAAACAAAGTAGCACCTATATGAGCAGTATGCTCGTGAAAGGCCTTAGGCGGCAAGCCCTTGGTTAGCGGATCCGTAAGCATGGAGTTTTTCCCTATATGTTCTATCGAAATCTTACCACTCTGAACTCTTTCATTAACAGCCATAAACTTGATGTCAATATGTTTCGACTTCATAGAGCTTCTATTGTTGTTGGAATATAGTACTGCCGATTCATTGTCATAGTAAATCTTTAGCGTCCTTTCGATACCTTTTACCACACGCAACCCAGTGATAAAATTTCACAACCATATCTCGTGATTAGATGCCTCATAACAGGCTATGAACTCTGCAGCCATGGTAGAAGAAGCTATGGGTGTCTGCTTAGCGCTATTTGAGGATATAATCACCTAAACACTTATGCCATAGGGAGACGAAATCCTCATTTAATTTTTACTTTTTACCACGAGTACTAGTATGCATGATTTCATTATTAAAAGTAACAGTATTAAGCATATAAAGATTATCAATTAAAGAACCATTACCAATAACCTTTAGATATTGAAAAAGACTAACTTTATTATTTCTAAATAAACAAGTATAATTGGATTTGTCCAAACTAGAAATAGAAACTAAATTCCGTCTAAAGACAGTGCAACAAAAGTCTCAATCAATTTCAAATAAACACTAATCTTTAATAATAATCTAAAGTGTCCTATTGTTGGTTTTCGAAACATTTTCGAGTGCGGAAGCGTGGTAGTGCGGATCTTGTATAAGAAAAATTTTTCACAAAACCTTTTGAATACGCTATAGATTATATTAATTTATACAATAATAAATTAATCTTATTAATTTATGATAATAAATACATTGACGATGATTATGATGATATCGTGAAGTCTTTAGACAACGAACGATCCTCGCTCCAAAACTTTCTTAGAATACCAAACTCTTTCTTATCTACTCCTTGAAATTCACAAGACGAGGAGTGTGGGCTCATGGTGTAATTGTCAGATTACTAACTAATTTAGTATTATTTCACTATCAGCGCATGTATGTGAAAGAATTAGGAAAATTAGAAGAACTTTTCTTCTTTTTTTCTCTCTCTAAATTTTCGGCCACTTTAGGGAATTCGGAGATCAAAAAATCTTTTTCTCCGATTCCTATTGTCTCCTATTTATAGAATTTTAAGAGAACTATTTTGCTTGTAGACAAAACAATAAGAAATTTGTTGTTACTATATTTTTTAATCTAATTAAAAATACAGTTTCCCTTTTAATTTTAGAAACAAATTTTCCTTCCTATTTACTATAGGGCCGACCGACCACAGGGGAATCTCCCTGTGGTTGGCGCATATCACATGCAAAGGAGATAGAGAGTTCATGCTTTCTTCAGTTTTCAATTTTAGCTCAAATTCAATTCCAAATAAAGTCACACTTAACTTTCCCTTTTGAATTTAATTAGAAAACTTGTCGAACAAGTAAACCGGATTACTTTGAGAGCAATCAACTAAATTTCAGTGGGCTTTTTTCATGTGTCACACGCCCCTTGTGATCCCACCATAGTGTGTGACAAAATAATTAAATAATCACATTATTTAACATATCATTAATTATTCGCGAGTGAAATAAAATCCTGATAATTCGTCTTGTCTTGTAAATAATACAAGGATGACGCGGGGACTCATGGACCTATTATTCTGAGCTCCAATAAAATTAATAATTAATTAAACTCTTTAATTAATTAATTAATTCTTTAATTCTAAAAAGTTACACCACTAAAAACTTAGAATTGCACTCTTGAAATTATATACATAATTTACTTCTAAGAACTTGAAGTGTCCATTTAATATAGCCACTACATATAGATCGATCCTCTATAAATAATTCATAATTAGAGCTAGGTAAAATCTGCTAACCTCTCTAATTACATCTTTATCCTTGAGTACCGTTGATTCTCTAATGAATAGTATATTCATAAAACGCAGTCATGGATACGAGCTCGTTACTTATTCAAGTACCTAATCAACCCTCAAGAGAATTATTTATCTGCTTCTTCAAAGAAGAAGGAACGGATTCCATCTGGTATATTAGCTTTCCTGGCTATCCATTTCATCATGTTTCCAAAATACAACGAATATGATTTAGGATCATGAAATCCGTACCGAGTAAGGAAAAAAACACGAATCCACAAATATGTGTCTATTAGCAACTCAAGATTAAGATCATTCTATACATGACCATCCGTAGACTCAAATTTGATTTTCTATATTTAACAGAAATTATCAAAAAATTAAATTGTGCCAGTGTCCCAATTCTACATAATCTCATTATGTATAATACACTCATTCAATATCCTTATATATTAATGATGTAGATAACACCATTTCATTCTTAATGGGAATGACATGTATGAGTAATGTTTTAATTAAAGAGTCTGAAACTTTAATTAAATTCATTACGAACATCGTTTCGATTATTATCCTTAAATATTATATCCTCATATATAACACTTATATACAATATTTAAGGGTACATAAATAATCGGGGAATTTTTAATGATATTCATAAAGTATTCAATAATACATGCACATAAATAATGAATAAATTATTTTATTAATCAAATAATAAAATATTCTTATTACATCTCATGCTTTAAGGGCACCATTCCCAACACCTATAGCTTCCACTAGAACTTTTTTTCCATCGCCCACAAAGATGAATCTTTTAGCATCATTTGGTGGTCGGCTCCCCAAGCAACCCTGCATAGACATACTTATGTGAGTAGTAGCACCAGAATCTACTTACTAAGTATCTTTAGGTACATAAGATAAATTAACTTCAGAAGAAACCAGAGCGAGAGTCTTACCCTTCTTTACACGCCAAGCGGTGTATTTAGAACACTCTTTCTTTATATGTCTTTACAGAATATCAGGTAAATTCCTCATCCTGCTTGGGTGTTTCATTTGTAGTATCCTTAGGTATCTTCTTTCTCTTATTCTGAGAGGTTGATGCCAAGTGAGCACTTTCAATCTTATCTCCCTGAATTCCTTTTTCTTCTTGTACACAGTGAGATATGAGCTCATTAAGAGTCCATTTATTCTTTTGGGTATTATAACTCACTTTAAATTGATTGTATTGTGCATGAAGAGATATGAGAACCAAGTGCACAAGTAAATCCTCAGATAGCTCTAACTTTAGTGCATTGAGTTTCCCAGCGAGATTTGACATATGCATGATGTACTCCTTTATCTTTCCTTTTCCTTTTATATTCATGGAAATAAGAGTAGCCAAAAGGTTACTTGTTTCTGTCTTTTCATTTTTAGCAAAATATTGCTCTATTTTTT